ATGTGCCCTGAGTTATCGCGAAGTGAAAGTCGTAGATTATATTTAGCGATACATACAAATTAGAAAAGAATGATGCCTTAAGCGCACTCCCAAGGAGAGATGAGAAGTAATGCACGATGAAACAGACATCGCAGTGTGTCGGAGCTCACACGACTGCACTAGGGAATGCAGGCAGTGAGGTGCCCGTGCCCACTCACGGTGCTGAGGCCGCAGATCCCATCGAGGGACTTGCGTGGATGACGAAGCTCACGGGTGACATGCTTCCAAAAGAGAAAACAATTTTTGGCAAAGTCACAGAAAAATTAAAGTGCGAATTTCCTTTGAAGGACATGGGAGTTGTATTCCTAGAAATTAAACCACTATTAAAACTAGTTTAAAAAAAGGGGGTGCGGATGCTTTTTCTTACAGTAGGGTTCGGTTCCAGTTCAGATGACTAAGTTTTAAACCGCCGTGTGCTGGTGCGACACGCAAAGCCAGACTGCACGGCGCAAGGCCACCCTCACTCCGCGAGTCACCAAACACTTCCTGGCCACCTCCACACCATCCCCGTGGAGAGCTCCTTGTCTGGTCCAGCCCCAGCGCCAGTGCCTACACAGGACATAAACGTGGCTGAAGCCACGTGCGAGGCGGTGATGGACCAGGCCAAAAACCAGGCTCCTGACTTCCGGGCCAGGCTCTTTCTGCTGACCTGAGTGAACTCCTGGAGGGCCAGATCCCCCGGAATCTCAGACACTGTGGCAGGGACGCATCTTCCTTAGTCAAATGAGACTCGTCTGAGCCACTACAGCTCGTCGCCATCACAGCCCTGCAAACCTGCGCTGTGCTGTCTGCCTCAGAAGCCCAGCCCAGGCTTGGGTGAGAAAGTCTAGATTTTATTGTCATCACTATAATCGCCATCCCAGTCTGAGTTCCCAGCGAAGCGTGTGCACCGCCCTTGGCCACCAACCTCATCACGCAGCACCCAAAAACCCAGAAAAGCCGGGCCGCACGGTCTGTGAACCAAGCTCTGTGAATGGCAGGGGCCAGCACCCCACACAGACAGCTGAGGCCACAGGGAGGTGTGGCCCCTCCCCACCGACGGGACACGTGGAGTCAGCGTCCTTCTCCTGTGCTCAGAAGAGGGCCAGGGTTAGGAGGTGGACAGCTCTGCCCTGTCCCCAGACAACCTCCAGACGTCAGTTCCTACAGGAAAAGCCCCAATAACCCAGCGACAGACTTTCCCTGTCGACTAGGATAATCCCTGAACCCAGGGCCTGTGGGTCCCGAGAGAACCCGAAGCCAGTCCTGCACTCCAGTCCCCACCCCGGGAATTGAAGACGCCAGCCTCCATGACGGTTCAATCAATCAATCAATCAATCAGTCAATCAACCAACCTACCTAGTGATGTATCTGGCTAAACTGGCATTAGGTTGAGCCTGAAGCTGAAGAACGAGGATCCCAAACTCACTGCTGTAAGACAGATTCTGTGGGCCCCAAGGAGCCATGTCAGAAAACCAGACCTTCCGAGGGTCAGATGCCTGTCTCTTCTGTGTAGAAGCTGGGCAGCAACGACATCGCTCAGTGGTGCCCGTTCTCTCCAGAACACGTTAAAAATCCTGGCTCCAGCGCGGCTCCGCCAGGTTAGAGGCGGGAAGAGACAGACAGACATAGCCACGGCCTCTGCCCGTCAGCACACAGGTGCGCTACCTGTGCGAAGGGGTGAATTCTGGGTTTAAATGTCCGCTAATTCTCTGGCTGCAGAGTCACAGGGAAGTCACTGCTCTCTCTGGGCCGTGGAGTCCCACCCAGTGACGCTGTCTGGGGACCTGAGTCTCGGGCCGCGGTGGGACTCGGGCAGGACGAGGGGGCGTGGAAGCTGTGCAGCACTGTCCTTGGCATCTGCGATGGTCTTACAGCTGCTTCTAGGTTCGTATCTAAGTAGCTCGTGCCTGGCAGGGTCGGGAGACCCTGGAGGCGGCCACACTACAGTCCCCCAACACACAAGGAGGGGGCAGGAGGAAACGTCCGGTAAGACCCATCCTGCAGAAACCCCAAGCTCAGAAAAGACCGCCATGCCATCCGAAGGCGCCAGCCCCAGATGCCCTGCAGAAAGCGACATGCCACGAGGCGGGGGGGGTGGGGGGGGCGCCGCGGGGGAGCGAGTGCGAGGTGCCAGGCACCACGCCAGGCCCTTGAGTCCTCGCTGCACCTCTGAAGTGGGACTATGGCCCATTTTACAAAGACGGACCCTGCAGCTTACAGAAGAAAACCACGTTCAACAGGACCAGAAGGGAGACAGCCAACCTTAGACTGGCACCCTTGGCACACGCCCGGCAGCGCACGCCAAGCGCGTCACAGACACTCCAGGTCCCATCTTCATAACCACCCCACGGAGCAGGCTTTACTGTCCCGAGGCCACCGGTGGCAGAGCAAAGACAGTACAGGATCTGGCTGCCCCCAAACAAATGCTTTTTTTACTACAGCAAATTGCCTCCCACCGAGGCAGAGGAGGATGGAATTTCTCGGTACAGAGGGTATTTAATAGAAAACATCAGTTAGCTGGCAGCGAGAGGCCTTTTGCGACAGCTGGTGGGCGGGGATGGGTGGCGGGGTGGCTGCCTGTGCCTGGCGCGGGTGCTGAAAGCTGAGCAGCAGATCAGTGTGACCCAGGCATACCCTGGAGTCGCACACCGCAGGGACCAGGAACCGATTCTGTGGACGAACCCCGCAAACGTAACGTCGAGGGAAAGAAATCACACACAAAGGCACACACAGTGTGATGCGCACACGCAACGAAGTTCACACACAGGCAAAATCGCTGTTGCCACGGACGCTGACACCCTGGTTGTCCCGTGGGGAGGAGGAGGAGTATGGTCTCCGTCAAGACTTGGCAGGGCCGGGCACACGTGTGTAAAAGCTTCTCCAGCTGCATAGCTCAGACTTGTGCACGTACTGTCGGCAGGTCATGCCTCGGGCGAAGAGAAGGCGTACTTCTCAAGGGGCCCAGGCCCCCCGTCCCCCCGACTCGAGGTTTCGCCCATAGAAGCAGATCAGGCCACAGCCGACAAACCCTGACGGGCAACTGCGACCAACTCATGATGAAAGTTTCAAATCGGGCCACTCGCGCATTGTGACACCCCCAAAACTAGTTGGTGTCCCCCACCCCACACCAAGACATCTGTCCAAACCGAGTCACTACCTTACACCGACAAGTTACTTCCTCAGAATGGGTGACAGGTTTCTTATGTGAAAATGCGGTGGATTAACTGATTTCCTTGCAATTCATGGTGAATTTAATAAAGTAACTAGTAGTTTTTACTTAGTTTAAATAGCTGCTTTGGGAGTGTCGGCTGTCTGATTTGATCAGAGCCAGCTTTGCCCCTCAGTGTATCTGCACATACACATAAAGTGAAGCTTGGAGCCCACATCCTGGGGTGGTGCCGGGTTCACCTTAGACTCAGCTCACTTCACCAGGAGGCTCAGGCTCTCGAGAGGAAAGGAGACAGTGTAAGCAGCACCTGTTTGGTGCCTACATCGTTCCAGGCCCGGTGCGGGTTACTGCGCACGGCTGTGGGTGAGCAGCCTCCCTGCACGCACCCCAAGTTCACGGCAGCAAAGCCACACCCCCCGGGACTCTCCACAGCAGGAAAGCATGTGACGAGTTTCTGTTTTGTACAAAACTATGGGATGCCCACTCAAAACATGTTCTTCACCTACTTAAAAAAAATACCGCCGAGGTTTAAATCGGGTCCCGAAGCTGCAGTATATCAGGCCAGTAGACTTAAAAGCCACCTTCCTCCAGCTTCTCAGTACCATATCTCCCCACTTTCCACCCCGATTCTGGCAGCAGCAACAATGACAGTAACAATACTCTCAGTACTAATACTGGGTGACTGACATGTGTCAAGCAGTCTGCTAAACATTTTACATTCTAGCTCATTTAAACGTAAAATTAACCCTCTATCACCCATTTTATAGATAAGGAAATCGAGGCACAGAAAAGTGAAGTAACTTGTCCAAGGGTTCCTCAGCTAGAACGCGGGAGAAGCAGGCTGTGAGCCCCGCAGCGTGACTCCAGGCCCGGCCTTAGGCACCGGGCTCTGCGAGGTGAGACCTCTAGCATAGTATGGGCCACATCCGCGGCCACCGAGACACCCACGGCCCGGAAAGCCTCTGTCCTCCGTCCCCGCTCCGAGGCGAACACTGCAAATTTCCAACACGGACCACACACGTTTGCTTCTTTGCTTTAACTGCCCTGCTTAGAGACGCTGGTACCCCCACCCCACTGTCCACTCCGAGCCCACGCGCGCCCGGGCTCCCAGGTCTCTGGGGCCTTTCTCTGCACCGTCCCCCCCGCCAGCTCCAGCCTCCTCCCCACCTGCGCCGGGCGCCAGGAACACTGCCTGTAGCGTCCCCTTTCCCAGCACACGCCAAGCTTGGCGCCCCATGCCTTGCACGTGCTGGTCCCTTGTCCCGGGAGGCACGGTCCCACCTCTGCCTAGTGAAGCCCGCGCCCTTCAAATGGCACCGCCCCCTCGAAGCCTCCCTTAGCAGCCCCATTTCCCTTTCTGTGTGCCCCGAACACCCTGCTCACACCTTATCAGAGCACTGAGCACGGGACTTTACCATCGGCAGGTTATGAACGTGTTTACCCCGAAATACTAAGTGCCCCGAGGGACAGACTCATCTATCCATTTCTTATACAATCCGCCCGCCAGTTTCTTGCACTCAGTAAATATTTAGTAAAAGTTTGTTAAACACACAAATAACAATTCAAGAACAAATTGTCGTTTGCTCCCTCCCACCGGCCAGTCTGTGCTCTAGGTGGACAGCTTGAGAACACCGCAGAGCAAATCTGTCTCCCAGAAATGGCGGAAGACGTAACCGTCACTTTCGCCTCCTTGAAATCGTTACTCTCCCTTTAAACCCAGAATCGGGCAGCTGCTCTGTGCGAACCCACGTAAGGTCAGTTCATCGCGGCCGCGGGGCGAGGACACGCCGGGAGCTTGAGCCCTGCTTACCTCCCTCCTGGGAATTCATGATGTTCAAGGCAAACAGCATGGCGTTGGAGAACGTGGTCGCCTCTTCCTTACTCGCGAAGTTTAAGCCGTACACCTGGCGGGCATCTCGCCACTGGTGGAAGGTCGGTGTTGCCTGATTGTACTTCAGCCCTTTCACGATTGAATAATTGATCACAACCTGGAGGAGAAAGGAGAGAAATCCGTGTAAATAAATAAAAGGTAAGCGAGCTGGCGAGAGCTGCTATGCGGCAAGGAAGGGTATTGCGCCCCCTGGGGCCAGCGGAGGACAGAGGGATGGGGGGTGGCGGGGAGGGTCACAGGAAGGGGAGAGCACACCCAGGCCGCTTTTCAACATGATCGAAGAATAGTGAGGGTTCGAAAACCAGCTGCTTCATTTAACTGATAATGCTGTGTAGTCACAGCCTCCAGATAAGACCTGAGTTAGGAGTCTGGGTCCCTTGGGCCCTGTCCTGGCCCTGCCACCCGGCTGTGTCATCCAAGGGGATCACTGCACCTTTCTGGGGCTCAGTTTCTCCAATTATAAAATGGGGATGAAAATCCTGGCTCTCCTGACCTCACGGGTCACTGCCCAGGTCACCCTGTGATGCACGTGTCACTGAGACTTCTAGACATGCAGATCCTTTGGGCAACAGTCTCCAAATTCCTACTCCTGCCTCCGAGGGCCCTCGCACAGGGTCTGCTATTTACAATGCATCAACAAGTGGGTGATTGGTTAGAGCAGGAGCCCCCAACGCCTGGGCCCGGACTGGTACCCGTCTGTGGCCTGCCAGGAGCCAGGCCGCACAGCCAGAGGTGAGCGGTGGGCAAGCGAATGAAGCTTCATCTGTATCTGCAGCCGCTCCCCAGCGCTGGCATCACTGCCCAGCTCCACCTCAGGTCATCAGGCATTAGATTCTCATGGGAGCACCGGTCCCCAGTGCCAGAAAGGTTGGGGACCGCTGAGTTAAATGATAACTCAGAAAAGTCACAGTGTGCCGCACAAATACACAGCATTATTAATACCTTTGTTATTAGTCAATCAAGAAATAGCAACTGGCTGCCGGAAGCAGCGCCTGGCCCAGGAGGGAAGCTACGGAGAAGACGGGAGAGTTCGGGCGTCCGGGTGCTTACATGCGGTCAGGAGTCCGACCAGTCCATCTGACCTCTGAACGCCTCTTTCGGAAGCCTAACGGAGGACTAGCTCCAAGGTCTTTAAGACTATATTTAGCAAGTGGGTCTCAGTGAAAGCGTGGGAGGTCTAGAGCCGTCATTCTGTGTCCCTAAGCCCTCGGCTCAGAGTCACATGATCTAACATCACAGGCCTCATTAGTCATTAGTTTCCTTATCTGCCAAGTGGGGAAGAATGTGACATGGCCGTGGCATGGCACCCCGTGGTGTGCCGTGAGGATTAAATTCTGCATGGAACTCTGGCGCAGGGCAGGCTGTCAGCGTTAACTGCGAACCAGAGATGGGTGTACGCAAGCAGAGCGGGGACGGCCTGCTGCTCGTGGCGCTTTAGCGGAAGTACTAGATGACTTCTCAGATCTCCCTTGGCTTTGAGCTGGTTTTGCAATCTGAACTTGGAGATAACTCCGTCTACTGTGCCCTGGTCAGGAAGGTGAGCTCGGGGAGAGATTCGGAGGTACAAAGGGATGTGGCCAAGACCACCGGCTGGTGGGCTGCGGCACTAAGCTGAGCACCCATGTTACTGAGTTTATAAATATTTAATTCTTTTTGACTGCTACATAACATTCCATTTTTTGATATATCACAAATAACTTATCCATTCTCCTGCTGATAAATACTTGTGTAGTTTCTAGCTGTTGGTTATTATGAATAAAACTGTTATATTTTCATGCATGTCTTTTAGTGGACACAGGTACTCATTTCTCTTGGGTACGAACCAGGAGTGGGTTATGGAATAGGTGTGTACTCAGTTTTAGTAGGTCCTGTCAAACCATTTTTCAAAGCAGTCTTATCAATTTATACTTCCGGCTGATGTCAGCATCATGGAGGAGTGAGAAGGTCCCTTTGTAGCTCCCCTTAAATTTACAAGTTGGGCATCTATAAGCCAGCAAAGCTTAACACACGAGAATGCATGAGAGACCCACAGATGGGAACATCCGAAGGTGGGTGTATCAGAATGCATGGGGGAGGTGGGACAGGGGAAGGATGGGGATGGTGTCTTATAGGTGTAGTGGCTGCTGAGGCCCCAGCTAACATGGCAGTGGTGGAGTCGGGGTACAGCCCCACACTACGGCCCCGTGGAGGGTAAGAGGGGCAGAATAGCGTTGGTGTCGAGAAGCTGGCTCCGCCCCCTCCATCGTTGTGGAACCGGTAGCCACAGTGACATGCGTCTAATAGCACAGTGGTGCCAGGGAGCCACAGGGCCATTAGTAACAAGATAGCGCTGCTGGCCTAAAGACCTGGCTTCCCCCACACCTGCCACATCCCCCCACTACGGTGGTGGTGCCCCGAGACAGAGGTACACTGGACATACCTACCACCTGGTCACCTCAGAGTCAATTTCCATGACAATGGCACCTCCCTTGATAAGAAGAAACAAAAATTTGCTCTATAGCACCATCTACTGGGAAACAAAAGACCTCTAATTATCAGCCTGCTGAATTAAGATCAAAACGGTATCTAAACAAGAGTCCACTATCTCGAATGAACAATCTCAAAGTCACAGAAGACTGTGATTTAAATGACAGAATTCTAGACTGCAGTAATAAAGAAACTCGATGAGATACAAGCAAACTCAGAAAGGCAGTTCAATGAGCTCAGGAATAAAACTAATAAACAAGAGACGGAAACCATAAAAAAGATAAATGAGATAAGGAATGCATCATAAAATACTGGAAACAGAGCAGACCAGACGGAAGAGAGAATTGGTGAGCTTGAAGACGGAAATCTAGAAATGATTCAGGTGGAAGAAGAGAACTAGAATTAAGAAAAACGAAGAACTCTACTAGAGTGCTCTGATGCCCTCAGAAGGAGCACGGTAAGGGTGACGGGTGCCCCAGAGCGGGGGGAGAGGGAGCACCGACTCAAACGAATAACTGATGAGACTTCTCAGACCCAGGAAGGAACCGGACATTCGAGCACAAGACGCTAACGGAATACCTAACTACCTCAGTGCAAGATGACCTTTTCTTGAAAGCACATTACATTAAGCGTGTCAAAAGTTAATGACACAGAAAGAACTCTCAAGGTAGCCAGGCGGACAAAAAGACAGTAACCTACAGAGAAAACTCCATCAGATCATCGTCAGATTTCTCAGTAAAAACCTAACAGGCCAGGAGAGCGTAATGATATATTCAAAATACTGAAAGAAAGAAACTTCCAGACAATGCTATGTCCACAAAGTTATCCTTGAGATATGGAGGAGAAATCCAGGCTTTCCCAAACAAACGCGGAGAGCGTTTAAACCAACCCTGCATTACAAGAAATGTTTAAAGGAAGTCTTCTACCGGAAATAAAAAGACGAAAGTATACAAAAATTTTGAGTAAGGTGACAGACGGAAGCAGGAAATTCCAACTCTATTTCAGAATAGAGTATTAAACAATTATAACTAAAGGTTAATAGGGAAAAAAGCATTAAAAATAGCTCTAACTACTATATTTTGGCGATAATTCTTGTACCATTATCTTCATGGGGTTACTGGGAGACTGAATTAATAGACATAAAAAGTGGTCCATAAGTCAGAAAGAGACTAAATGTGTAAGATATTCCTATTTGGTTATAAAACCAGATATCACTATCTCTCTTAAAATGTTTGACCTTTATAATCCAAACTGACTGGAAACAGACCTGTGAAAATTAGCCTTTTCTCCTGAGGTCCACAAAAGTTATTGAGGACCAAGTTTCCTGTCACTTTCTCTAACGCCTTAGTTTACGAAGAACCTCCATGTTCTATGTCCCATCTGAGGAGAGACTGTGGGACATGCTCCCAGTGGGAGGCTGTGCTGGTGACTCCTGTCAGACACCAGGGCCTCTCCGAGTTAACGGTGACACGGCCTCCGTGAACTTACGCAAGAGACCAGGGCGGACAGCTGCCAGTGCCCCGCACGGGGAAAAGGTCCCCTTCCAAACGAGCCCCAACGGGTGGCTTCCTCTGAGGGAGGCAGCGAGGTACTGAGAACAAGGTGCATGCTGGGTTCCGGGAATCCCGTCCTCCAGCCAGTGCCTTTTCCAGCACCGTGCCACCCTCCCAGTGTGCCCTGGGGCAACCGAGAGGCAGGAAGTGAATGAAAAACTGGTCATGATACAAGCGATCGCTCAGGGGACACCATCACGACCTGAGAACTGTAGTAGGTAACGGTCCTTCTGTAAAGGTGAGTACCAGGCTGCTACAGCCCCCGCCCATGGGCGTTATGAAAATGTATCAGAGGTTCTGGTTGTCTCCATAATTGGGGCCAAGGGTGCAATGTATGGTGTAGTGTGCCTCTAAAAGGCGGAGCCAGAACCAATGAATTGGAAGGACAGGGAAATAGTTTCTAGAAGGATTTTAGAAAGATCTTCCTACCTGTAGGCTCATCAATAAGGGAGAGGGGTGCCTCTGAAGGGACCCAGAGTCCCTGGTTGGCCAGACTGCCTTTAACCAGGGGTCATGGAGTAGTAATGTTCCTTTCGCCACAAGAATCTGAAACCTATTAGGGCTATTTTGGTCAAAGCAGAAACCATTCAACAGGCAACACAGACAACAGTCTTAAGTTTCTGTTCTCTCTTTGCTAATATGCTGATTCCTGCAGACAGCAGCTAACCTGCTGCTCAGCTTAGCAGCTTAACCAACAAAGGACTCCAGAAGATGCCATTTAGGTAGAGTTCTTCACAAATGTTGAAACTACAGACCTGTTAATTTCACTGCTAAAAATGTCCTCGTCAGTCACGAAGAGGTGGGGGTCGAGCACTGAAATAGCAGGCAAGGTCACTGTGGTTAGGCTACACGACCGCTTTCTCCACGTTTCTATCTTGGGCCATGTCACACCAGACTGTTCTGTCTTAGTTACGCGTACACGACTTACCTTGTATTTGCAGAGGTGCTTACCAGGTACACTCGCAAACTATCATATCTGATTTGCCTAGGATGTACGATCAGAGAGAGAAATGATCCTAGATTCTTCAATTCATCTTGGTATTCCTTCTGAAATAAGACTTAGGAGGTTGATGAACCGAAAATCTCTATTGTTACGTTACTTATAGCTATGCAGGCGCAGGATAAAACCAACGTATCTGCACGACACATTTCCGAAGCTGTTCCACATCCGCTACTTTACTCTAATGTGGCACTGTCGCAGTGAGGTAGGTGGGGTGTGGATCCGTCTCTATGAGACAGATGCGAGATTGAAGCTCAGAAAAGACAGTGTGCTCAAGGTCTCACGCCTCAAGAGTCTGAGAACAGAGAGGAAATCTAAACCCAGATTTTCGGACCCCAAACCTTGACCTAATTTTTTTAATCTCTTTTTACTGTGTGCGTGCAGGCGTGCGCGGGTGTGTGTGTGTGCGTGCGTATGCGCGTGCGAGTGCCTGGGTGTGACCTGTCAGGTGCACACCCCCCCCACGGGTGTGTCCTGTCACCGGGCACTCACCTGCTGGTCCTGAAGCTTGACTCCGACGACTCTGAAGGTGTTGCTGGCGGTGTTGTGGTAGATGTTAATCCGGCTGAACCCCTGCTGGCCAGGTTTGATTGGCACCCACTTCTTACTGGTGTCATCGTAGACCATCACGGAAGCCCGGGCTTGGCAGATACTCTGTTCACTGCAGAGCAAGAAAAGACTTAAGTGTCAGCGTCGGCTACAATGGAGGGAGGCTGGCTTCGTCCTCTTCTGAAACAGAGGCCAATGGCTGCTTGACGCAAAGACACTTTCTAACCGCCAGACCTTCCGACCGTCTACGGAAAGGCTGCTCCGCGAGGTGAGTCTTCATTCTCCGGGGACCACGGGGAGTGGAGAGGTTCTGCACCAACACCTTCGGCAGCCTGGAAGGGACGCACAGCTTCCCCTCAGGGGAAAAAGGCGCCTGAATGAGGAAGGAACTGAGACTACAATTTGCCGACGGTCCACAAGGTTCCAGGCGCTGCTGCGTCAAAGGAGACAACGCGTTAACGCACCTAAGCGTCACGACTCATGACGTGGCGGTCACCACCCCGGGCGTTTCGTAGATAAATAGAGAGTAGCTCGGACACTTGGCAAGATTTGCACGAATCCACATAGGTACTCAGTGATTCAATCTGGGACTGCCCACCAATTCTGACTCTAGAGCACGAGATAACATTCTTGCCAACACCCAACGAAATGCTTGATTTATGAAATTATGATAGGGTGGCATCGTGCAAGCTACACAGACAATAACTAGGTGATCGAGATAACATTCTTGCCAACACCCAACGAAATGCTCGATTTATGAAATTATGATAGGGTGGCATTGTGCAAGGTACACAGACAATAACTAGGTGATCTCCTAAAGAACGGAGCGATACAAATGAAAATAAGGAGATGATGCGCCCTACTTTGCTGAAGACATTCGTTCACCAAGCGACTTCATCTGTTCAGAATGGGACAGAAGCCCAGGGAAGAAACCAAAGAAGTCCCCGGAGAAGGAAAACAGTCACCCCTAACATCGCGTACAGCTGTTTCCACTGTCTTCGAAAGGAAGACATCTCTCGGTGCCCACGGGCCTGTCCACCTACATAGAAGCCTAATAACCTTGAACATGCACTGTCTCGGTCTCAAGCACATAAGAATCCTCAAATTAAGAAGGTAAGGCGTGGTTGTGACCGGGAGGGCGCACCCACACCCGCGGAGTGGCCATCACCCGAGGGGAAGGGGCCACATCGACACAACTGAAGAATTAGAAACAAAAAGTTAAAAGCCTAAGAATCAACGTGGGCCCAGTTCATGTAAGCAGAAGTGTGTACAACGGTCATAATGATAAGACCAAGCCACCGGGAAAAATCACATTGTGGTCACTTTACCATATTTAAGGCAGGGAAACAAAGTATTAGAAAAAGATCTCACTCCCCAGCCCTGGTGGTTACTGGGTGACAAAACCGTGGTTATTAGGAGACTGGCCCTCCGTGACTGGAAACTTCACCCACGTGGCGTGGCATGC